TAGATAGATAGATAGATAGATAGATAGATAGATAGATAGATGTAGATAGGTAGGTAGGCAGGTCCCATAGTTAGGTGGGTAGATTATAGATAGGTAAGTAGGATAGATAGATAGATAGATAGATAGATAGATAGATAGATAGATAGGTAGATAGGCAGGCAGGCAGGCAGGCATCAAGGATAAGCTCTTCCCATTAAGATTTCCAAGACTGGGAAACCATGAAAGATGCAGACTGATGGTGAGACACTCAACAACAACACTTGCATCCTTGACTATATGGCAATAAGACTCTGAGTTCAGTAAATGCTACCAAAAGATGCCTGAATGAAATTCTAAAACTCTGTGTGGAATGTTGGAGAAAAATAGAGGCCAAACATAAGGGAAGGCAAATTTCCCACAAATCCTGTATCTCACAATGACCAGACAGAGTCACAGAATTGTTTTTTTCTGCTGGGAGCCCACCTCTGTTGAAAGACGTTTGAAAGCACGGGACAAATTCACTTAGGCCATCATTCTCACCAATAAATGTCCAAATATTTCTGGAAACTCAACAAAGCATGAAGATGCTGGACTCCCCTGTGGAGTCCCTCCAGAAGTCGATATTCATAGATATGACACACCTGTGCGCAGATGTTCCATTTACCTGTTAGGAACATTAGCCAGTGGCAGATCTATCTTTATTTTAAAAAATATAGCATACAGAGCCATTTAATCTTGCGAATGTTCAAACCCTAGGAAGGAAGAATTCTTCCAGTTCTGCAAACATTACAACATGCATATTGAACTCTGTATAGTTTGGGATGCATTGACCTAAGGCATATTTTTTTGTGTGAATTTTTCCTGCTTTACTTTTTGATCATTTCCCACCAACTTTATATATATATATTTTGCAGGCATGTGTTTCCCCTGTATGCATATAGGAGAATCGTGTTGCATTTCACCAGTTGCAAATTGCACTGCAAAATTTGGCAAAATGCAGAGAGACTTTCTTGCATTTGTTTATTCTGGTTTTTCATTAGAAAGGTATAAATGGAGTAAATACATATAAAAATAATGGTGGAAATGATTTATCAACCATCTCTACCATTCTCTGCATCTTGCAATAGCAAACAATATATGAAAAAGATCCATCTTTTGTCAATTTTAAATGCACTACCTGTTAGATTTTCTTCCAGTCTATTTCTTCTTCACATTAGTTTGTGATTCTTTTTAAAGCCTGTCTGAATAATCATTTACTTATTCATGAGAGTTTTTCCCAGTGCACCCATTTTTGCACATGTTTTCCTAATATATTTATTCTTGCAAAGGAGTTTCCGTAATATAATATATTATCATACGTTTCCCTAATATCCCATTTTTACACAGAATTATTTTATTTACAAGCTACTGTACATCATAAAAAGAAGATAACTGGTCAGGGAATAGGAATTGAATAGATGTGCATGGAAAAAGTGCATTTATCCCACATTTTTATCTGAGAGGGTGAAAACAAACTCCACTTTTCCCCCCACAGATAAAATATTTTTCTTAACAAAGAAACCGAAAAAAAGACATTAATTAGTCTCTGGACGTCTCTTCGGTGAGCACCACTAGAATAAGTATGTTTACTGTATTTGCCCAGCTCAACTCTATAATAGATATAGAAACCATTCATGTGAAATTATCCTATTAATGTGAAGATTATAAACACACAGATTCATCTGAAATATAATACAGTTAGTACTGAAAGCTGCCATCTGTTCCGATTAAGTGATGGATAAAATGTGGCTGATATTTGTAAATTCAGATGAATAAAATCTGGCTGATATCTTTCATCACTATTATTCAAGTGATCAATTGATGCTTTCCACCACCCCCCAAAAAAACAACAACCCAACAAAAGCTTATTGACATACATTAAGCTAGCAGGCTTTTATTCCTGACTAAGGAGGCTGAAAACTTTTTACATATGATGAACTGTATTTTAACTGTGTGGCTTTAAATAATAAATGGCATTGATGTATTTATCTAGTCACACCTCTATGTTATATACACCGTACGCACAATTTTGAGAGCTTGTGCAGAAAGCAACCAGTGAAGCGTTCTGCTGCTTTACAAGATCTGCAAACATATTCTTATCTGAAAGATAACCCAGTACACATAGGAAAAACCCAGATTGTCATGCCTTGCAAAGCATTTAGTCCGCACACCATCCATGCACCTACACAGATATGCATCTATAGAAAACCCTAGCACACATAATTTTTTTAGCACCACTGAAGGCATTCTCAGTGCTTCAATAACTTGACTGGTGGTACAAAGTACCCCTCAACTTCGAGATGAGACAGAGACCTGGTTGCTCCATTGAATTAGATGGATAGATAGACCTGTGGATTAGAAGCGTGGTTTTTTTTTCCTTCCCGGAGAGTTAGAAAGTACAACTAGCGAACCAAGCAACAACTAGCACAACACATCCTCCACCTGAGCCAAAAAAAACCACGAAGTTGGAGCAAAACAGTTTCGATCTTCCAAAGGGATATTTGGAGAAATCTCAACATTGTGAAAGGATGATAGAAAAACAATCGTTTGGAGACCCAAAAGCACAAACCCATCAAATGATTTTCTTACCTTTCAGGGATACCGAGATCTGCAAAAATGCTGTCGAATTCCTGCAAATTTATTATTCCTAAATCATCAGCTCCCACCAGTCCACTGGTGGCAGAGTCGAACCCAACCCAATTCAACACAGAATGTCAGAATGAATGCAGGCAACCTTTCCAAGCATGCTCACCAGGGCTGGGATACCAGGAAACAACCACCAATAATCCCAATTCTTCCAGTAGGTGTAAGACCAGCTCAGTTGCTACAAGTTCCCACGAATGAAATACACAAGTTTTCCCAAGGCTGATAACACAGACACAAAAAGGCACGAATTTTGAAATATTTGCGAAGGGCTCGACTCAGAAACTTACCCACTTCCCAAAGAGCTTAAAAGTGGGATCTACGTAAATGCCCAACAAAAATTTGAACTCTGAACCTGCAATCCTTGGCTTCACATACCTGATAATAAAGGTCCCCCCTGAACTAATTAGATCGTAACTTCTGAGGTTTGTTGGATTCTGATGAAAGCTTTTTCACCCAGATATTTCAAGAAGTAGCACATTTACAAATACACAGGGTTTGGGGGTTTGGTTTTTGTTTTTTTAATACAAGGAGGGGGTAGTTGGATTTACACAGGGAGGCTCAGCCAATCTCATTGTGCACATATTGTACTCTGACAATAAAGGTAATAATAAAACATTCCCAGGACCAAAAGTTAAAAATCACTCAAGAAAGTCAAAACGATCCCAAAAGGACCTAACAATTTGACAAAAGCTTCCGCCAAAATTCCCTAAAACATTTCACGGTTCAGATCCTTTCATTTTAAAAGAAAAATTGCAGAAGACCCCCCCATCCTTCTGCCTTCCCCTCCTCTGCAAGAGAGGCTTATTCTTGCAGGCAAAGTCATCCCTGGCACAATAATAATAGCAGCGGTCGTAGTAATAATAACCGTCCTTACAAAAACAAACAGGTTCCTATCGCAATCCGCAGAAGACTATACCAAAAGGGAGGGGTTTTTTTCCATCACTCCCTCCTTTTCTTTTTAAAACAAGAAAGCTGTAAAAGAAGAACCCCCGTACATTTAAGCGTGTTTGACAGCTCTATTATTTCCTGACCCCGTTGCCTTCCCCAAAAAGATGCACCCCTCTTCTCAAAATCTGCTAGAAAAGAGACAAAGGCTACACGCCCCGTTGAAA